ATGAGGCGTCATAACTCTTCTAAATGAAGACCTTCTGACTCCTGGGGCGGAGTTTAAATGGTTTGAATAATTTTTTCTGGTTAGCGTTTTTGGCGAGTTAGTTTCCTACGGAATGGGGTCACTAACCCCATGCCTACCCCTCCTCCTTTATCCGGGCTTGGGACCGGCGGTAGCCCCCGGAGGGACTCCAAGCGGAGTTACAACCAGGTATATACATCACTATATTTCTAAGCATTACCCCTCTTGGTTGATTAAAAGAGAAAATAATACAATAACAATCTCTCTTTTGTTGCATTTAATAGTTATCGGTCACCACATAAATTATGAATTTAGCTTCCAAAGTTATTTTTAGAATCTTATCAAACTTGTAGCATTTTGCCAAACCTCGTTTTTCGTTTTTACATAAAACAGAAACCATAGATATACACATCAATATATTTAATCATTGTTAACAGAAAGAAACAATTTATCCATCTTCTTTCTTCTTCTTAGTTACAACATTTTTTTCAAAGATTTTAACCCTTTTAAATTCTAAAACATTGTTTCATTTCTATTCAGTTTCAATTAAATACTTCATTATACTTGACTAATCTATCCTAATAATCTGATTTTCTAATTTCCTTTGCACCATTTCTTACTAATCATATACTCTTAGCTTTAGAAATAACAGCAAACATTTATAGTCGTTTGTTTAATTTCAAAATTATTTAATTCTCATTCTTACGTAACAAATTGTTATAGTTAATCATTGGTACAATGTCATCTTTTTTTCTAATTTTACATCTGTTAAGCTTGTAATCGATTACTGTTTTACAGAAGACACTGTAAAATTGGCTGACCATCGCTTATTTCATATATATTTCGTTCTTAACTGTAAAAATATCAATTAGAATAAAGTTTTAATGGAGGACTCCTCAGTAGTGCGCATCCGAAACTCCTCACACGGGATCCGAACCTAGGGCCTTCAGTCTGACGTGCAAACGCTTGAGCTCTAGACCATTGAGCCGACATCCAGCGGTGTTAATGTCGAACTTCCATCAATCCACGATATTGCGCGACTATTCACCGTCTAGATTTATTAGACTCATGAATTCAAATATTATTGTTATTATTATTCATATATCTTTGTATTACTATCACTAAAGATCAGTTATAACACAGAAAGAATTTAACTAACACTTAATTCACTTTATTGTTTTTTTACTTAGCTCATATTAACTTATTCATTCCCTAGTCTTTGACTGATTTGTGATTACTTTATTATTTCTCACTCAGTTTATCCTCATTTATTCTAACTATTAATTGTACAATTTCGATTGACATCTCAATTTATCTAACTTTACATTACTAAAGATTTCAAAATAGGAAATTCTATTTTATTTTACAAATTATTTCTAAATCTGTATACTGTAATTTTCAAAGGATGTATTTGCCTTCAACTTGGCTATTACTTAACAAACCCTTATTTGTATTAATCACTGTAAAACTTGTTGGTGAAGTATTGTACAGTGTATTCTTCGTTTAGTTTGTCTTAATGTTTGTTTGTTTTTTAAAAAAAGGTAGGAATTTTTGTAAAGGTTTATCTTGAGTGGAATTAATTCGCTTCATTATTGGTATACAACTAAAGAATGTTTAAAGTTTTATGACGAAAATTCAATGAAAAAATCACGTTGCACCTGTACCTTTTCTAGAGTTACTGCCGGTCCCAAGCCCGGGTAAAGGAGGAGGGTTGTGCATGGGGTTAGCGACTCCACCCCGTAGAAAACTAACTCGCTAAAAAAACGCTAACCAAAAAAGTAATTCTGGTGAGTGGCTTATGCTCCTTCACGAGGAGTAAAAGGCGTAAATAAGTTGTATGGGTTATATCATGCAAATCGAAATTGATTGGTGTGGAATGTGACCCGAAAGCTTATATTTTTCTTGGTAAGCTGTGAGCAATTAAAATTTTTTTCTAATCTTAAACTTTACATATGTCAGTCATATTGTAAAGTAATTATCGACTTTCTAACAAGTTTTTTTCCTGTTCATTATTCTTTAGATGATAGTCGCAACAAAGTGTTCATTTTGCGGTAGGTCATAAGACTTGATTAGGTTATGGAGCTAAAATCAAATAGCTTGAATTAATTTGAAAACCTACACTAAATATATCTCAATCACAAACTATGAGATCAAATATCTTGATAGTCAATAATTAAATATATTGACTGTGTGAGATTTATGAAGATTTTGTGAAGTTCATAATTAACATTATGGACTGATTTTGATTAAACAAAGATCTAGCACTTTCTCATTTTTAATGTAGCTTTAACTAAGATTAATCTTTGATGTTCACTATGAAATGAAATATCAAACAGTAGGCATGGTTATCAATTACAATATATAGATTTACGTCAAATATGATCTTTTAAGAAGCTTGGAAATGTTTGCTGATGATGTCGTTCAGAATAAAGATGAAAGCTCCACGACCAAACCATACAGCTCAGAGAACAAAACTCCATCAAAATCATCCATCTGAGCTACAAAACTTTTCCATTATCTCAAAGTTCTGAACGCCTAGCATTTCAATTTTAATTGTTTAACACTAAAGAATTTGTAAAACTCTCATTTCATTTGCGGTATATTTCTGTGTCTGTAATTTTGTATCGATGCCAAATGATGGATTTGATGTTATGGTTAGTTATTGTTTCATGAAAAAACAAACCGACAGAGTACTACGCTTAAGTTTGTAAACATAATATCAAAATGATAAAAAATATATTCTTAAGTAAATCTTATTTTCCGTACTATTGTGAGCAATGAAAACTTGAGCCTTCATTAATTTTCCGGCACATAGTTATAGAATATCTTGGTAAAATATGAGGTCCATACACTGATTATTTCATTTGCAAATTTCCATCGTTTTCTCTCACTATCTGTAAGATTCTTCTAGTTTACACTTTTTTTCAAATTTCTTTTTCGATTCTCTTCACCTTGATCTTCTTAACCTTTTGCTGTCAGGTTTTCTATCCCAGACCAATGAGACATACTACTTGTGTCTGTCGACATAAATTGCATACAACACAGTATTAGTAGTATTAATAGTATTGCTAAATATGGTAGTAGTGGTAGTAGCAATTTTAGCAATTCCATGAAATTTATGCCTGTAATTCAAGTAGTCTAACTTCAAGGATGCATTTTCGATTCGTTTAGATTCTAGTAATGTGTAATTGTTTATAAAGAATTCTTCGTTTGATTTGCCTAAAAGACTTGTAAATAAAACAAAATACAAAAATTGCCTTACAAGATATTTGTATATTTACAATTCTAATATCTAATTTAGGAGAATAAAATTGGTCAAGTGTACATTTTAAGAAGCTGTTAAATATGAATCGACTAGTAAACAATTTAATAAGTAAAGACTGAATATTTCTTAAATAATGATGTATGTTTGATAGGTGATTAGAATCGATTCAATGGTATGTAGAGAATAACATTAAACTAGTTGTACTGTGAAACAACATTTCCTATCTCCATTATGTACTCCTCAAACCTGTCTCCCCATAGGATTGATAAGTTTATAAATTGTACAGTTGGTTATTATTATTATTATCAATACAAAAACCAAGAGGTTGTCGAGTGATTACCACTTTCATAACGTTGATAATCACTCTATCATTGTAATGAATAAGAACACGAATAGGGACGATCGAATGTATTTGACACGAGATTACAGAGCATCTCAATAAAATTTGAGAACCATATATTGAATAAATAAGAACTTTTGTCTAAATTTGATTGAATAGTTTCATAGTATTTGGGAGCCTAGTTAATGTGAGTCATTAAAGAGGAATAATATATTTGTAAAATCTCAGCGAATGAATTTGGAAGTAAATCCAACGTTTCTGGTTCAAGCTTTTTCAAGAAAATAAATAATAAATAGTTAATTTGCAAAATATCAATTCATCCTCTGAAACTTCACTGTTCCTTTTGCAAATATCAATCCATTGTCTCAGATCTCATTGTTCATGCGTTTTCATATTAATTGCGTTCCGTTCTCGTTCTTTCCTCATCGACCTTCTACTGAAATACATTCTATGACTGACCACCGTTATATACTACTTGTGTGGATATAAGTAACTCACACCACATCATTAACCAAACTATAACTCACAACGTTTCTAACGAAAATTACATTCATATGCGATAAAACATGCAGAAGATACATTTAAAGTAGTTCAAGAAAGATTATTTTCATTTACATAAAAATTTGACTTAAACAGAATAAAAAATGATAATAACAGTAAGATTTCTGATGGAAGTATTTCAGTGTCATTGTTAGTCATCAATAATCTACAATGTAATGAAGTTATTAAACAAACTGATTAATTAACAATTTGGGAGAAAAATTGTTTTGTATATTACATACATTACTTACGAGATACTAGAAGTATACAGTATTCATTGATGCCTTCTGTATTATCTAATGTTATCATGTGAAAGTTATGGTCAATTACCAAATAGTAATCTTTTCATCCGTACACTTATGTGTATACATATCAAGTGGTGAATAAAAGATTTCTTCCTAGAATGAATTGATTCATATTTAATATATCAATATAATGGTTCTTATCTATGCATACTGCTATTCATTTACATGTTCTAACCCTTCCATACATGAATTTATAGTAAACAGTGATAATATGAAAGAGGAAGAATGTATTGGTAAAATTTCAACGAAAGAATTTGAAGTAAATCCAATGTTTCACCTAACAACCTGGTTCAAGCTGTTTCAAGAAAACAGTGATAATGATTGAAATATAATTAAGCAGATATTTTTTTTAGAAACTTTTATCTATATTTATTAATTTGAATAAATTAGAATGAATTCATTTGTGATATTGTAGATGAGATAACTGATTCATTCTGATCATCAAACATAACTGAAGATGTATTATGAATGAATGGAAATGTTGAAAATAGATTAGATATATTTTGTTTAGTTGGAATTAATTGATCTTCAATTAATGAATGATTTCATCACTACTAACTGATGAAGTTGAAAGATTTAATGGATGAGAAATCATTGTCCATTTATTCATATCAATATTCTTATCAATAATAGTATCATTAGAAAATTGTGTATGATTCTGATATTTCGAATTAGTGGTTTCATAAGAACTATCTAAAGTAACAACCTCATTTTTAGGCTTTTTTGATATAACTTGCTCATTTGTAATATTAAGCATAGATTTACTAAGGTATATATTTGACTGATTAACCTCATTTTGTTTATGAATTATATTATGTTTGTTAGTTATTAGATTAGATTCTTTTTCCGATGGTTTGTTTGATTTACAATTATTGTGATTGTTTTTATTAGATAATACAGATGTTATTGTGGTTGGATTCAATGATGTTCTTATTCGTTTGCGTAGTTCATTAGAAACATTTCTATTTTGTGAAACTTTTGATTGAAATTTTGTTATATCTATATTAGGAGATTCATTTCCATATCGTGTTGCACAATATAGTTGTGTAACTTTTAAAAGAGTTTCTCTTAAATAAGGATCTTTACCTATAATAATAAAAGTAAAGAATGAAAAGTTTTTTTTTTTTAAAGTAAAACACTAAATAAAACTTGATCTTAAGATGGTGAAGAAGATTTGTAGATCAGGTTAATTAATTTTGATGAAGTTTTGTTTTCTGAACTAGATGGTTCGCTTGTAAAACTTTCATCTAACTGAAGTTTATGCTGATGATGTCGTTCATAAAAACAATGAAAGCTCCACGACTAAACCATACAGCTTAGAGAACAAAACTTCATCAAAAACTTGGTCATTTGAAATGATGAAATAGTGATTAATCAAATAAATATATTGTCTTTATTTAGTTATTACTTAGATGTTTGGTTCAGAGTATACGTTTTCCTTTTTTTACAGTACCTTCATCACAAAGTGTATTTAAAGACATTGAGTATTCATCTGAATACGATAACATCATTCTCGAGGTTATTCATCGTGAAAACTCCTGTGGTGTGTGCTACTTATATTGACATAAGTAGTATATGATTACTTAAAGTCAACCTCTTGATAGCAAAATAAAAATCCTTTGTTCGATGACGTAGATCAATAATACATGAATACTAAATGCATATAGTCTCCAGAAGCTATTTATTTCAAATCCGAAATTTGATAATTACTTTTAAGAAATGGAAATTATGCTTTGATATAACGTTTTCTGATTTATAAATAGACTCAGACCCTGTACTTATAATAATCAAGTAATTACACTTGCCAGATCTAAAGATCCTAGGTTCGAACTTTGATGGGATCATGGGTAAACGCTACTGAGGTGTTCCGTATTCTGATGAAAAAGCCATGTAGAGGTACTACAAATGAAATCAATCTGTGACGAATATAACCTACAAATGGTATTATAATCTTGACAAAGACAAGAATAGAAAACTAACATTTCATTTTTGAAGAAGTATTTTGTTATATCCGAGTGGAGATTAAATTACAGGTAACTTCCGAGGACTATTCATGGACTAATATTCTATAAATATTCTTATTGTATAACTACTCAACAATTACACTATGTATATTTATATCCCTCTTATGACAAGCTTTATTTTGGCCTATAATTTATTATTGTACGATTTACGGTTCTTAAGTTATGTTCAGTTTATTAACTACTGCCTCCCACATTCACAGCCACTTTCTGGGCTTATTTGTGTACAAATATTATTTCCTATTTTATGGTACGTTGAGGTCTGTGTGATTGATATATAAACCAAGTATGCCTGAAATAAACGATCTGCTCTGATTCGGAAGCTGGTATCTTGTTCTGGACTCAAGTGGAAGGGCTCGTAGGACATAGGACCAATAAGGAAGCTAAACTGCCCACACCGGTTGAACGTCATTGGTTGGCCTAGTGTGAAGATTCGTATAAGTCGTATTCGGATTGGTAGATAAGTCGTGTGATCGAAAAGTCAGACATCCAAGGTCACAACAATTAGCACAGGGTAAAAATCGGCCACAACTTAAAGTCATAACATATTTCTTAACCAAAATCGATGCATATAAGCTGCATAGGTTACGGAAAAAAGGGGAAATGAAACCATTGAATTCATTTTGACAATATAAACTACTCTGAAATCGAAATTATGACTGATTAAACAATTAATTCGTTTGTTTAAATTGAATAAAATACTGATATAATAGAACTCAATCTACAAATTTATTCATTTCAATTAAAATATAAAAAACAGCCATAATTTAATCCTAATACTTTCTTAAAATAGGCCGCATTCCTGCAATTAAAAAACATATGGAACTCAAAACAATTGTTAACCAATATCAAAGTCAGAATCTTCAATACAAAAGTCAAGATATTCCTACTGCACTGAGCTGAAACGTGGAGAACTACTACAACCATAATCAAAAATGTACAAGTATTCATAAATAGCTGTCTACTCAAGATACTTAATATTTGTTGCACGGATATCATCAGCAACATCATTCCATGGGAGAGGATAAACCAGCTTACAACTGAAGAGGTAATTATGAAAAAACGTTGAAAGTGGATAGGACACATATTGAGGAAATCACCAAACTACATCACTAGGCAATTCATAACTTGGAATCCTGAAGGAAAACGGAAAAGAGGAAGGCCAAAAAAACACACAACTATGAAAGGGATGAATAACAACTGGAAAAAACTGGAAACGATTGCCCAGGACAGAGTTTGATGGAGAGTAGGTAACAGGCGTAAGTAAGTAACTAAGTTTCTGAAAAATTAATGATTACTGATGTATACAGCTCACAAGTTTTTAAACATAATTGTGAAATGACAAGATATATCTATATATCTATATATCCTAGACATCTAATTTATAACCCTCTTTTCATTTCTTCAATCAAATTAACAAACAAACAGATGGTTTATCAATTCAACATGATAATTTCTAACTAATTAAATAGTATGTTTATTACACTTAGTTGATCTATTCACTATTTATACATTGTATTATTGTTAAAATGACACAAGAATATATTTTAATATTAACTTCACAATAACCAGCTAAGAGAACAAAACTCCATCAAAATCATCCACCTTAGCTACAAATCTTCTCCACAATCTCAATACCGATTACTTATTTTGGCTGAAATGTAATCACGTGATTTGTGGACTATTATTATTATCATTATTATTATTATAATTAAGGGGATAGTAAATATCCAGATGGTAATATACAACAAAAGTAGCATTCTTATTTGAATGAATCTTTTAATTGTAATACTCATTCCTTCATAAACGATTTTGTCTTTGACAAATTTAATTATTCAACATGATCATTTTGACATTTTTCTCTGTGTTTATAATGAAATTTCATTGTTTTTTTCTTGTTTTAATTTATTAAATAAAAGTTTTAAAATATTAAAAAAAACTTGAAAATTTATTTTGTGTTTTTAGTTTATAGTGTGGTATAACAGAAAAGATTTATTTAACAAACTAAAATGAAATTAATATCAGAAGGGTTTTGTAGGATAAGATAGTAGTTTTTTAATAGTTGAGATCATGAGTCCATTGAAGTTAGACCACTGGGAAGTACTGGACGAGCGTTTTGCTTCATTGTGGGACTCCTCAGAAGTGTGAATCCACAATCCCGCCTCCCAAGCTTCGAACCCAGCACCTATCGGTCTCGTGAGCGAACGCTTAAAAATCTAGATCACTGAGCTGACATCCAATGATGTTAATGTCTAACTTCAACTAATCCATGAAATTGAGTGACACATCTTCCATTGTCTTTGGTGAGTTACTATCTCACAACAGACCTGATTGAACTCCATTGGTCACTGCTTCCCACTAGAAATCTTGAAGTCAGTCACTAGTGAGCATTTGTTGATTAGTATCAGAATGGTTTTCCAGGTTTTCCATGGTAGTTTAGCTTTAATTGACTCATGACCTCAACTATTAAAATGAAATTATCTGAACGAAAGAAAACGAAGTTAGAAGGTTCTAGATCATAGATATTTTACAGAGGTTGATATATTCTTAACAAGTTTGGATTGTGGATAGCAGTGGTAACCAGGATATATAATCAATCTTAGTTAGGACCCATCAGCTGGATCACTCTTAAGTATTAGTGTTGATGTCCACACTGAAATTTAAAACCACCATCAACTGCTTCAGAAGTCAAGCAATATTCATCAAACTATTTAATTCATATAATTAATAACTTTTTACACATATACACGAGCGATGTATTTTGCTTCACCTCGGTTCATAATTCAACTTTCATTCATATTTGGTACATCACTTAATCAAAAAGCATATCGGCATTGGAAACTTTATATAATGTCTGACAAGAAAATTATAAACAATCACTATAGATTTTACAACCAATAATGAATTATTATTATTATTATTGGCTTTATTCAGTATCGTATTTCTGGTACAATAGAAAATTCTTAGCACGAAGTAGTTCAACAAGTTTCCACTTCTTATTTCTTGACCGATCCTGACAATCATTATTGAGTGGTCGCCAGTCAGGTGTTAGAAGTTCGGGAATCGACATCTGATTAATGTATATCATTTTCGATGCATATTGCCAGCAACCACGATATCTGTGATAGTGCTTTTTTTTAACTTGTACAGAGAAATGTAAACTTTTCATAAACACACCCGAATAAGTAATGCGATTAAATGGCGTAACGATGTGTTAAAACAAACAAGAAAACCGATAACTTGTAGGAATATCCAGATGTCAGGAACAGGTATTCCAGATATCAAGGTGGCCGCCTTATAAATCATCTGTTAAAATACTAACTTGAAATCATTTTGAATGATTGTAACCATTAATAAAATTGTCGTTTCCAATTGTGGCTTCCGATTCATCATAAATAGTGTGAGTTATCTAATCATAAAAATTGATTGCAATGAACTACTAAGATTCATTGTTTGACAATTTGAAATTATATTTCTAATGAACGAATACCGTTGCAGATTACATAAAATCTAGCAAAGCAGTTCGTATGTTGGTTTTCTCAAAGATAACTTGCTTTATTCACATGATTTTTGCCCACCTCTAAATAATCAGTCCTCATTATTTCCAGTTACAATTTATGTAAAAGAGATATAAGTCCATATTCTGATGTTTTGTCTAGTATAAACTGAAAAACTAATAAAATACTAAAAGTTTTCAAATCATAGCACAATGTTCTATGTGTGTAGATAACAAAATAACAGAACACAGTAATACTGTGGTGCGTGCTACTTATATTGATATAAGTAGTATATGACGCGAGTCAGGAATGTAATATCTGGCGGCAGAAGATGGGGAAGATCAAGGAAAGGAAGAGCGTGAATAGAAAGTAATTAGTATGGAAATGCAAGAACAATGAAGTTCGAGACAATTATTGAACATTTTGCAAATTAAGTATTATAGCATGGTTTTTCTATTTTACGAAGTAACTGTAATTTTGTTCTCACTGGTGTTCTTACGACAGTACTACACATTCATGAATGCATCGTACACATGTAAACATTTTTGTAAAAAGTATTAAAAAGAGGTAAATCGGTTTATCGAAAATTCGTTGCTATCTAGAATAAAGTGTCGTTCAGTTCATGTATCATGCTTGTTACTGGAAGTTATCAAAAACCATGACCCAGATAAGATACATGTTGTTTAGTTTCCAGAAGTATTCTATAAAAATTACAAACTTTGCGATAAGAATGCCTTAAGTTATCTTGTGTTAAAACTTTACTATAGCTAACTGATTTGTGAAACTGAATCCCAAATTCAGTAAACTACATTAAGTTCTCTACTCTTCCCAGCCATAAGTAATACATCAGTATAGAGTTGTGGAGATTGTGAAGTTTTTGTTTGAAATCATGAATCGATCAATATTAGACCATCACTGAAGACCTGTAAGCACTAAACAGCCGTTTCGTCCTAGTACGGGACTGCACAGAAATGCGCATCCACTTTTCGAACCCAGGACTTTCGATCTCACGCACAAACGCTTAACCTCTAAATCACTGAGCCGGTATCAAACTTCAACTAATAAGTAATATAAAAGTATGACAATAAAAAGTTATTCTTACTTGATAAAAGTACGTAATAAAGCTAAGATTAGACTTAATTTATTAACTTGAAAATATTGTATTTGGTTTCCTAATAAATTATAATCTAAACTTAATCTAACAATTAAAAAAAGAATGTATGTTATTACATTTCAAAAGGAAGTCATAAAAATATCTAGACAATTTCTATACAAATTGACTATAGAACGACACACACACACATAATTTTCTTCATCTAATAACATAATTTTCCTATTGACCGTATTCAGTAATGTCAAGTATACTGGTTTGGATTTATAATAGATTTTTTTATCTTTGTAGGTGATTATAAAAAGTGGGTACTAACTTCAATCAGTTATAAGTAGTATATATATATATTTATATATTCATACTGAATTAACGGATAAATTTTTAAAAAATTTTGAAGAAAAATCGCGGGTTTTTAGTTTTGTTTTAAAAAATCACCATTTTATTACATCTGTTAAAGGAAACAACAATGGTTGAAAGTAATTAAAATATTACTATTATTATTGGTAGTAGTAGTAGTAGTATAATATAATTTGTGAATAATTAAGATAAATAGGTGGACTTGCTAAAATATTAAATAAAATAGAAGTATGAAATGACCGGAAAAATACAATGATTTGTTACTATGTTAGTTATGAATTGTTTATATTGAGTTTGGTTTAATGTTATGTAGTTTAACATTGTCTTGGAGATTATGTCTTGAACTTACAAGTTAGACATTAGGTTACTTTTGAAGAATAAATATGATAATTAATTATTACTCATGAACTTTAATATATATGTTGTGTATGCTACTTATGTTTGCTAATAAAAGTAGTATGTAACACTAGTCGGAAGTAGAATATCTGCGAGCAAAAGGTTGAGAAGATTAAATAAGAGAAAAAGAAACAAAAAGTAATCAAGATCACAACAGGAATGAGGGAACAGTGAAGTTTGTAACAGACAATTCAAGAAAGATGTGCAAATAATGTTTTTGAAATGTGATTTCCCGATTTTAGTAAACTGTTGTGTGATTTTGCCCGAAACAATTGTTTGGTTTAGCTTACTTGAATGTTCGTTCACTATGTATATTTAACACATATATTTGTGATTTACATACATAGTTATCAGATCATAACAAGAAATGTTTGGTTCCTTTAATGTTACGGGTTTGTGTTCATAACAAATCTGTGAAACCTAATTAATTTGATGATTAATATTTTGTTTAATTAACGACTTCATTTTGCTAAGGTATACTATGTATACTTTCAGATATTATTTGAATACGATACACTACCAGAGAGAAAGAGATATTAACTGGTACCCGTGGTCTGATTATCTCTTTATCTTCAATAACAAAATAATGTTCATAATTCAATTCATAAGATTACTAACCTACGAATAAAATTAAGGATATTGTCACTAAATGTTTATATTACCGTGTTATTGAAATTCGGAACTGGATGTCGATCAGTCTTAGTTGGCCAATGTGAATCCTAAGCAAATTACACCATTGTTGTAATTCTGCAAGTTTTAAAAACATATGGACTGAAACTGGAAGTTGAACCCATAACATGCATTACGTTCCATCAGTGACTGTTCAGCTGAATGTATGTGAATTGTATTGAGGATATTCACATTCGGATCAGACCTCAGTACCTTCCAAAACCAACTTTTTTCTATAATAAACTGAATAGGCAATAAGTACTGAGTCCATAACTTATATTGTGATTTGGCTTCGATTTAACAACATTATACCCATATTTTATAAAATCCATGTAAACCTCAACAGTTATTTTTCTTATCTCAGATGATAAAAGCAGCATACTTTCTACGTTACTATTATCGCATCACTCAAAACTTCAAAGTTAATTTTGATAGTGTAATAACAAGATGAAGATTATCAGAACTATGTGATATATCAGCCCAATACATTTCGAATAATCTGACCATATATATATATATATATATATATATATATATATATATATATATATATATATATATCTTAAGAAAATTGATATACAAAAGCGGCAATATTAGTCTGTTGTCTGGAGTGACGAGTTTTACATTGTTTTTCCCATTATTTTCTTCATTATTTTTGTTTCCTTTTGCCCTCCATCTCGCTATGATCAGATTGTTCAGAATGTATTACGCTATTGTATCACATTAGGTCCGGTAATCTTCGTCTTTTTTATTTTATTCAAATTTATTAAAGGGACTAATTGTTTCGAAATGAATAAACAAGTTTAGTTACCTGCAACAGTTGGTAGCATTAGAGCTTGACGTTTCTCTTTCATTCGCCGGTTTTGAAACCAAACCTGAATACAAATTAATTACAAATAATTAATTTCTGTATGACATAATACGTATATCTGATGTATTTGTTAAACCAACTGCATAAGTAATTTAACGTTTCAATATAAGACTAAGTATATACTGTAAAGTTTGTAAATCTGACAGCGAAATTCTAAAACCTCAGTAAGATTTCATTAGACTAGTGTACGTACAGTGCGATACAAAAACTATTCATAAATGCTAAAACAAAAGAGGTGAATGAATTTTAAAATTTAATTATTTATATTACACCGGATACCGAAATCTAAATAATGAAAGCGTTTGTTCTGTTTATATTTCACCATAAAGTTTTGCTGAGAATAGTTATAAATATGCGCAAGGTTGAGATGTGGTACTTTTTCACAAAATTATTTATTTACCTTGAATATATGGAAGTATTTTGTTACGAGCAAATTTTAGTCTACATAGATGTAAACCACTCATACATTTATAAACTAGGAATCTTTTTGATTATTTACTCTTTATCGATATATTTTACTCGACGATCAGCAGACGAACATTTCTACAGATTGATGAACATAAATAATCCTGAATTATCAATGTTAATATACATTTACTCAACTTCGACTTAAATCTCAAGTATAACCTTGGTTACATACCTTTGAAGGAAGTACTGGATGGCAATTTCGTTCTATTGTGGGACTTCTCAGAAGTGTGAGTTCACAATCCCTCATCTCAAGCTCCGAACCCAGCACCTATCGATCTCGTGAGCGAACGCTTAAAAATCTAGATCACTGAGCTGGCATACAATGATGCTAATGTCTTACTTCAAGTAATCCAAGAAATTGAGTGACACATCTACCTTTGTCTTTGGTGAGTTACCATCTCCCAACAGACCCGGTTGAACTCCATTGGTCATTGTTTTTCGCTAGAACTCCAGGAAATACCTCTTGAAACCCCTTCTGATATAAGTCTTTTAGTTTAACAATGAAAATTAATGACCAATTTCACATTTTTTATGTTTCTACACTAAAAAATAATCAGAAGGGTTTTGTAGAGATTTTAGTAATTTCAGTAGTTGAAACCATGAGTCTATTGAAGCTAGATCACCATGGAAAACCTGGTAGCACTGGACGGCCGTTTCATCCTAGTGTGGAACTCCTCAGCAATGCGCATCCACGATCCCGCACCCCGCGAAATTCGAACTCACGAGCTAACAGTCTCGCGCGCGAGCACTAAACCACTAGACCACTGACACAGCATCTAACGGTGTTAATGCCTAACTTGAAATAATTCACGAAATTGCACCACCGTACACCATTGTTTTTAGTGAGCTGATATCTCATAACAGACTTAGTTATGCTCCACTGGGATCGTGGATACTCACTGCTGAGGAGTCCCATACTAGGACAAAACGGCCATCCAGTGCTTCCAAGTTTTGCATGGTAGTCTAGCTTCAATTGACTCATGATTTCATCTATTAAGAATTAATCGTCTACATATCGGATTCAAAAGAATCATACCTCAAAGAATCAATCTATTTTCACTTTGTTTTTGTTATTGTAATCATTCAATAGATTTCAAAAAAAAGTTTTATATTTGATATTACTAATATAAATACATAATAACACATATGTTCAACACATTATCCTTGTTACTTACTTTAATTTTATTCTCTGGTAAATCTAATTCAACTGATAATTTAGCTCTTTGTGGTCGATTAATATAACGATCTAACTGATAAGTTTTTTCTAATAATTCAATTTGTTTTTGTGTATAACTAGTACGATAACGTTTTAATTGTTCATTGATATCATCATTATGAATATTATTCATTGTCTTATTGAATTCAATGAATTTATGATTTTTTTGATTGATAAACATAATTGATTTATAGATTTATTGATTAATTCATTATTAGTTATTTTATCTTCGATCATAGTTGTTGATATGGATGATTTCATTTTTAGTTTGATTGTATTCTCATGATCATTTATTATTCTTTCATTAGTTATATCATCATTATGATATACGATTTGTGTATTTGTATTATCCTTTTTAGTTACTATGCTATCATTAATGTTCCCTGTTTCTAATTTTATTGATGAATTCTCTAACATTGATCTAGAATGATAATGATTTGATTGCCTATTATTATTAATATGTAATGGATATTGATTATTTTTAAGTAATAGAGAATTATGTTGATATGTTAAATGATTATTTTTCTGTATAGAATAATATGGAGGAATGAATGAATTTTTAAAAATATTACCAAAATTTTCAAGTTTCAATGAAAACTCTTCATTGTTATCATTAGGATCTTTACTTTCATTATTACTATTATGATGAATATGATCATCATTTGGAGTTATTGTTTGGGTATCATCAAAATCAATATGACAACTACTCGAATTATTGATCATAGAATTTGAACATAAGGATATATTGTCTTTATAAACTTCTTGAGATAATGAACGATTGATCTCAGTTGATTGTAAATTATTGTTTTGTATAATATGAGAGTTATGTTTAAGTTTTGTTTTAAGTTCATTAAATAATGCAAATGTTGATGAATAAGGTAAAAATGATGGAAAATTTAAACTTACAATGTTATCTGGAAACATTTTAATTTGATTAGAAGGTAATGATGTATCTGTAAAAAAGAACACATAATTTATAAAATAAAACATTCTTATCATCAAGAAGGTACAAGTATTTTTAAATAGCTGTCTACGCAAGATACTCAACATCCATTGGCCGGATACCATCAGCAATAGCCTTCTGTGGGAGAGAACAAACCAGCTTCCAGCTGAAGAGGAAATTAGGAAAAGACGATGGAAATGGATAGGATATACATTACGCAAATCCTCAAACTGCATCACGAGGCAAGCCCTACGTTGGAATCTTGAAGAGAAGTGGAAAAGAGGAAGGCCAAAGAACACATCACGTCGAGAAACAGAAGCAGATATGAAAAGGATGAGTAGGAACTGAAAGGAGCTAGAAAGGATTGCCCATAACAGAGTTGGATGGAGAATGCTGGTGAGTGGCCTGTGCTCCTTCACGAGGAGTAACAGGCGTAAGTGAAGTAAGTAGTAAGTAAAGTTATCATTCAAAAACTTAATTGATATTCAGTATTAACAATCGGATAACCATTATAGAAACATATTTATACATCATGCCTAACATCAAGATGGATTCATTTACTTTTATTCTACTGTATTCATGTAGGTAATATTATTAGTTGACTTCGTCCTTTAGTTTATAACACAATGAATTACTGATAAATGTTTTCAAGCTATGAGTGTTGTAATTCGCAATATAGAATCTATGAGGTCATCAATTGATTATGTAAAATAGGGAATTCTTGCTTTACAATAAAGTTTGTAAGTGTGGAACGACTAATTTTTTATTTTAAATCTCAAACGTATCTAGACAATACAATTATGTGATTAGTAATAAAATAAATTTAGGTAATTCAGGATGAGATAAATGCTAATAAAACTAATATCTATATTAAATCACTGACTGAATATTAACGAATGCATGAAATAATATGAGCTAAGTAGGAATTAGCGAAAATGGGATCATTTCTGACTAAAATTTTACAAATGAATACAAACAGAATCAATTTCATTAAGACAACATGTAGAAAACAAAAAAACGGAAACAAAAATACACACTAGGCATAATAGACCGTAAAGTAATTGAGATTATTTACTCAAACTGATAGTCCTAAACTCATATAATACTTGTCGATTACAAATGTTTAAATTTTTTCAACCGTTGAGTTGGGTTTAAAATTGTGGAATCTGTTTTTCCTTTCAAAATTTAAAGTAGTTCTTATCATAATTTGACATTTTCTGGAGAACTACCGATAACCAAGTAGCACTTGCGATTTGTTTTCTCGTAGTTTCAACTCATCTGGAGGATTGAATACAGGGTTATCAAATCTCTTGCTGAGCATGATACTTTAAGATAATTGAACTGAAATTTGAGGGTCTGTACTTTCAACTCCGATTAATTCGTAGTGTACCTCAATTTCCGTCCATCATCATAACTGATTATTGTCCTAAATCAAGCATGTTTCAACTACACCGATGATTAGTTCCTACTACAAATCTTGTCACATACCAGTAAATTAGTCATTTATGAGGTTTCTATTGTTCGTTTACATATTTGTGTAAATAGTTCAATTAAAACTTATAATTATAACACTTCGAATATAAAATATCACTGTTACCTACTTGTGGTAAAAGATGCCATTTTAGGAAACTATGAATAGAATATATTGAAAAGATTTCAGGGAAAGTATAATAATTAATTAACTTTTTAATAGTCCAATATATATCTATATATGCTCTTCTCAGTCTAAATCAAAATCACTTTAATTTGAGTTAAACAAGCATAATGAATTTTTTTTTTTAATTGAATGGGATATTTCTTCATTCATTAACATTTGATTGGTTGAATCAAAATTCTTTTTTATCACTTTTCTTTCCCTTTTTATAAATAAGAAATATAATAGGAAGGGGGAGGAAATGATTTTCAGTTGAGCATAATGAATTTTTTGGTATAAATCAAAAATAGTAATAATTTGGGGAGTTTTATTTTCAAGAGGGGGGAAATTATATTAATTTATAAATGATATTCATTTAGGATTGGTTAATTTTGAGATATTATAGAAAAATAGAATTACTAAAGAGTTGTTTCATTCTGATTTAGGATTCATCAATAATGAGCAACAATAACATAACAAAAGATGGAATTCAGGATGTTCTGATCTTACATAGCTATTCACTAATGAATGTCAAACCAAGATCGTTGAGTAAGGAAAGCCACATAAAAGTAAGCAATAATTAACTTAATAACACTTATTCTTCATTTGACGGAAATGATGAATAAAAGAATGTTATATGTATGATACGAATGATTTCTTGATCGACTCGTTCGTTTATAAAGTAATGAAAATGTTAGAGATGATTGTTTACATTAGGACTGTACGAAGTTTAAAACTCGATTGAATTCTGACTAGTTGATATAAAACATCCGAACGAATTGGGCTCAAAATCATGACTTTATTTGGGTTTTTTAACACTTCAGTCTAAAGTTAATTTTCATTGACCTTCATCTCAAAGATAATTATGTAAAAGAGGACACTATAATCCTAAAATTGGAAATTAACTTCATTACGTATTAAGATGGGGTATTCAACTGTATCAGAACTAGAATAATAGGGGCTTTTTAGGTGGAACAGAGAACACTAAGATCCCTGATTCAAATAATAAATGTCTCAATGTGCTGGGGTTGAAGCTATCACGAGTTCACTTAATCCGAAAACGAGAACAAAGACTCAGTGACCAAAGAACAGTAAGCTAGCTATTTGATGCGTCCCAGCCCCGCTAACTAGAGGAAGAAGTCCAAGCTTGGAATGGGAAGTATATTCTGCAAACAGCTAAAAACGAGCGATAACAATAAAACACAATTCAAAACATATTTATACAGTACAAAACCGTCCTTGGAGAGAGTTACCAAATAGCATACTAAAAGACACAACGGACCAATAGAATTTAAGATATTTCCCAGTGGGAAATACGACATGAAGGTGACAACAGCGCCTTTGGCGCGAAAACAAAGAAATCTAAATTCTCTAAATAAAATTACAAAATTAGGTGCTTTCCCAAACGTCCCCAACACAGTGTATCATTGGAATATAAGCAACAATTTTTTTTAAATTTAAGAAATTCTTTAACTGATTAATCTATTACGTATTTGTCCCAAGACCTAAAGGGTCTCATTACAGTACTTGAAGTAACCTGACCTACGTAACCATAAGAAGCGCTAGTTTATTAAAATAATCCACCTTTATGAAATCTGTTTTCAAAATTATAGGAAAGTTGTCGCCCGTTGAATTCATTTCTAATCCTAGTTTTAAGGATTTTATGCACTATACGATTTCAGAGATTCCTCTGGCGTTTGTAAATTATATTCATCAAAACCTTAAAACAATATTTATTCCATGTATATTCAACAATATTCAAATTTATAGTAGGGTATTGTAGTGATTGCTAAATTTAAAGATTCAAAGCACAGACCGACTTTTACTTAAAAACCCGAAAGCACCTGAGAGCTGTTTTGTTCTGATCTGACGGTACTAGTGAGAAGCCATGAACAGTAGAGATCAACCAGGTAGAATGTTAGACAAATATAATCAACGGAAACCAATCGGAGTCGTGCAAAATCACGAACTAACTAAAGCAGTAAATGTAAGACCCTGGATCTAAACTGAGTTGCTTGAAGGTTAAGAGCCAGCTTCTAAGGTTGAATGTCCTGTATTCTATCACTTATAAAGTTGTGTTTGAGCACTGCTAATGAGTCATGTGTAATCAAAGCCAACCAGCGTTGTAAAGCTCCAATATGAAAAATAATTCAAATATTCTACGAATAAAACTGTTTTACCCTTTAGATGTTTAAATTATTTGTTGGTAGCAGATAACTAATATTGAATCACGACATCCTCAACTATATGGAACCCTTCGGTAATTTTTGTAAATACCCTGTAAAGTTCAAGTTTTTACAGGAAAAAATATATATCCGTAATTGAATAAAACATAGATGATGTAATCAAAGCTTAAGAAATACAATTATAGTACGGGAACTTTTAACAGAACATGAAAAGTCTCGAACATATTCTTTTTATTGAACACGCTTATCTGCTCACTAAAAGTAATCATCATCCTGAAATTATGACAGATAAGCAAATAACGAATAACGATACACTAATCTAAGGTCCAGATCAAAATTCTAAATGTAATTTACATATTTCAAAAGAAAATTTAGGAAAAATTGTTTCTAGGCATACAAATGATATCAAATTGTTTCCTAATCTTATTTAAAACCAACGTACAGCGGTTCTGTTATATTTTAAATAGTTTCATTATCTTTACTATAAGAACGCAAGATTATGTCAACGAAATATAAAGTGTTATTAAATAGTGTATTCTCAAAGCATAGCACAATTAATCGTTATTCACTCACTATATAGAAACATCAAAAACCATTCATCTCGTTGATTTGGTCGGTCTATAACATACTTCCCACATCAAAACCTCAAAGTCAACTAACTCACTTAGTTACTACTTCAAACAGGTTGTCCACTTCGACTTCCTCACATTTTCAAAGACAATAAGAAACCTAGTGAGAAAGTTGTGAGAATCACTCATTTAATGATAATAACAACAGTACAGAGAAATACATGAACGACATAACAATGAATAAACAGTTCAACTGAAGTCGTGTTTATTCTTTCAGTGTGATCTTGTCGAATAAATATTGACCAAGTCCACTTCCAACTCGATCTGTCTCTGTCACATAGTCAGCAAATTGTTTGATTGCATCTTCTTGTTCATGCAAATACTGACTCTCAATGAAATCAGTCAGTGCTGGATCATTGTTCTTCACAGCGATTTCATGAAGTTTCAATAATGACTGTAAAAAGAGAAGAAACAATGGAACCAGTGGTTGTAGTGTATTTCATGTTGTCATTTAATAGATTAGTGTTTTATTTTCACAGTGAATTGTGACTCACCATGTCCATGAAACTAACCAAACTAAAGTGTAACTTTCACATGTGTCAATTTAATACGATACATTCCAGTTTCATAATACTACTCAGAGATAGAAATGTAATGTACGAAATATGATGGTCAATTCAACACTTGAGAATTGCACGTATTTCAAAGTCAGTGATGTGAACAATTACACAAACATTAATATAAAATCGAAATATATTTTTAAAACCAAATGATCATTTCCGATTGTCGGTTAATGATGTTCTAGTTGTAGATAGATTATGATTCATTGTACCACTCACCTCATTCACTGCCTTCTCCATCGACAATGCAGTGTTCATCGCATCCTCCAAACCACTGAATTCTGTCTTAGTTGGACACTTGATATCACTGTATTGAACACGACCACCACGTTTGTTCTGATATTTGGCCAATTTCTCTGCATGTTCACGTTCTTCATGTGAAGCTTTTCGAAAGAATTCAGCTGCTTTCGGAAATGACACATCATCTCGATCGAAATAAGTGAAGAATGCCATATAATCATAAGCAGCCTGTAGTTCCACATTGATTTGTTTATTGATTGCATCTTCACATTCTTTGGCGAAATTCTGTCTAGCTCTTGATTCACTCATATTGCTATGTAATGTATCTCTTGAGAAATCTTTTTAATAATTTCCTATTTCTTTTATGTATTTATATATGTAATTAATATAAACTCTGTACTCTTTCCGATTGTTGTTTTTCAATCTAAATAAACACATAAACAACAATTTTCATATATTTTCGTATTGTCTTGTAGTTAACAATGACCAAAACAATAATGTTTCAATAATGGTGTATTGGCTTATGTTTATCTAAATGATTGACTCATAGATAAGCTTTGAAATTCCAAGTTATTCAATAGTTGTTTCACATATTTTCACATTTTCATTCCTAATCTTTTCATTGGTATTTTTGTTTTTGACAAATACTTATCATAGTTACATATATAAACTGTATGAATATAACCGGTAGAAAATTTTAATATTCGCTAATGATAGTGTAAGGAACAGAACACGAGTTGGGAGAATCGTACGTGTTCAACACAAAATTACAGGACTTGTTAATAAAATCTAACAATCAAATAAGTAAATACGTAATATGCAAAATGTTCACCAATTGTCTTAAAATGAGTTCGACTACGTTGTTCTTACATTTTCATACAAATTGCATCCTGTTTCCATTCTTTACTGTTCGATCCTCTTGTCTCTCTGCTGTTAGAGCTTCCGTTCACGACTAACATCATATACTACTTATGTCAATATCAGTAACACACACCACAATAGTAATTCATTACATCCATTAAATATGTTAATTATGTGCACAAATAATTAGCTTCTAATTGATATTGGTTTCATTTATTCTTAGAAATATATTAGCTTAAAGGCGGCCAATACTCCTCCACGATGTGTAATCATCGTAAGTAAGACAGCTAAGATCAATCGTAGAATAAAACAAATGAAATACTACTGAATAAATTATAAATGTGGTGGTGCTAAGATTCAAATTAAAATATCGTTAAGACATTGTTCACTCAAGTATATTATCTGTTTGTGAATTATTTACCACTACAAAGAAAAAGACTTTATCAGAATATGTAAGAAAAGATGAAATTCATGGAAGATTACTAGGTTTTCAATGATCTTAGATGTTAAATTTAATACGTTTTGATATGAATAGATAAGGTACATTGAAATATTATCTTTTTTAAGTGGTTCCGATTGCTAGGTTTCAAGCTATCACGAGTTCACTTAATCTGAAAACGAGAACAAAGACTCAGTGACCAAAAACCAGTAAGCTAGCTATTTGATGCGTCCCAGCCCCGCTAACTAGAGGAAGAAGTCCAAGCTTGGAATGGGAAGTATATTCTGCAAACAGCCAAAAACGATCGATCACAACAAACGCAATTCAAAACATATATATATCATACGATAAAAATATACGTATAGTATTGGTCCACAAGTGGATCCCAAAAATTAACACTCATTATTCTTATCGGGCCATAACACCAATAAATAAAAACAATCAAATACTCTGGGAACTTCAAAATTGTTTCAAAAATCATTCAAGGGTTCATAGTTAGCTATTTTGCTTTAGTGCTAGAATATTCAATGATGTTATAGATTGAAAGATTTAACGAATAGAAAAAAGGTGAATTTATGATTTTAGTCAATAAAGTAGTTTAATTTTTTCTTTTAAAGTCACAACAGTGCCGAATGTTTGTTAGTTGAGTAATTCATTCATCATATTTCTGAAATATAGTGAATGATAGCAAAACAACACAACAAAGATATTTTGAAACATGTATTTGATTAACTTCACTTTAGAGCCCCTCTAGTGTTACTTCTAATCTAACGTACAAAAAAAGCAAGGACACATCATATAGATTGAAGTAACAAATAAGCTTTGAATATTACTTACACTAACACTTGCTACATTTAGAATTCAGTTTATTGAATACAATCTATCGAAATACAATATCCATCATTTCAATGAACAACTTACACTCAAAAATGTTTTGCATTCTACTATATGAAAAAAAAACTTCTATCATGATGTCTGAACAACAACTTTCGTCAATCCACATACAGTCAAATGTAAACTAAATTATGAGTTATGTATCAATAAAGGGTAAAATTGAGTGCTAAATGTCCAATAAAAAAAACAAATCACATTGCATATAAAACAATATGAACAGAGTTAATGATTAGGTTACCGTTTCAAATTTTATCAGTCGGGCGTGCGTAATCAAGATATCTGCACTGAAAAAAATCGATTAGTAATATTCTTCTAATAGAAGTAGAATGAAACTAAGTCTATTGAGAAGACAACGATCAGAATTTAAACTGACTTCATATGCAATTTAATCTAGAATTATTTTACTAAAAGAAAGAATCTCCGTCTAGTAGAGTGAAAATTTGAAAGTGTTCTTTGAATCTTTCAGAGAGTAAACCAACTTTCACCAAAACCTTTCAATAATTCTTCTCCTAGACAATGAATGACTATGTGATGAGACTAACTGTCTGTTTAGAATATAAATTGAAATGGAATGCATAATCAATACATCAGAAATGTAAATTAATTAGGACTTACATTGTACTCAAAATAAACAGTTAATTCGAAGAGGAAACTTTTCATTTCGATAACATCAATTTCAATAGCTTTACTTTTATAAACATAGTCATTTGAAGTTTTAGTGACCTACTTTTATCAGAGAACGCGATTGGTGTAATGGAAACAATTATTATTATAACCAATTGTACCAGGGACTGTTTTACCGTACTTGTTTGTTTAACTGCACCAGAATACATACTTTCTCCCGTTGATTGTGACCTTGCATGAATTCGATTACGCTCAGTAACCACACCTGTAACTTGGCACAATCTCGGTATTCTTTCCATACTACGAGACTGCCAACAAATACATCTTGACTACAGCCATCAACTGCCTTCTGATATTTGGCTTATGGGGATCTTATCGGTTAACTGGTACGTAGTCTTCCTGTAGTGGTGATCATAGTCAACCGCGACTCGATGCCACACTACAAGGTAATCAGAAAAGCAAACACGTTTCGTGTATCAATATATCAGTAAGTAGGGCTTAACTACTTAACATTTTATTGTGTATTTTAATTATCATTCAAGTTCTAATACAACGAATCAGTTTAGCATCATGCAAACTCATACTTTGATTTGAAATTTGCATTAACTTGCGAATAATCGTTTGTTGGTAATACTTCAAATATACGTGTTAAACAGCGTCAACAAAAGAAATGTAGCTACATCTTCAATGCATTCATTAACAAATCAATATTTTCCAAGTCATACTGTCTAATAACTATGGGAAAAAATCTATTTCATCGTTAAGAATGTCTCATAAGTTGTATGGATTTATTTTATATACTTACCTTGATCTGTTAGTGATGTTTGATATGTACGTATTCATCAACATCGATAAATGAATTAACTTGTGAGACATTAGAATTTCATGTTTACTGTAGTTTACCTTCTAATTTTCATGGACAGTTTTTATAACCTGAAAACCATTGTCTGTTTACTATGAATCTTTTTTCATTTAGTGGAAATAAACATTTCCATTTTAGTCTTTAAATTACTTAATATTCAAACAATAACTTGATACTGATGTTGTTAGAATAATATTTCGAAAAGTCGACGTATTTCACTGTTAGCATTAACCTAGAAATTGTTTTAATTATTCCGTCTACTTACAAATTGAAAGTAGTTCATCTTGTTGAGATAAAGCTGAATTGTCATGTGAATTGGTTGCTTATAATCACTTTAGATTCATCCAACGCATTTAACACTACCATGAATAGCTTGGTCAAAAAACATGAATTTGTCACTAAAAATTATTACACGAGATAAATATTCATTGAATCTACAGTAAACTGAGTTGTAACGAGATGAATAACCATTTCAAACACAATATGTGCGTTGAAAACTTGGGGATAAATCGTATAGTACAATAAATAATCAATCTCCTTCGTTGACACAATGAACAACTAAGAAGAGCCAGGAATCTTTGAGTAACCATTTCGTCTTAGTATGGAGCTCCTAACCAGAGAGCACCCATGATTCCTGAGAGGGTAGAACCAAAGATATTTAACTGTAGCATGCGAGTACTTTACCTTCAGAAACGTAACCCGGTCTCACATAGTATACATATGTATAAAGTCGGTTAAACAAAGATGTTATTTCTTGTTTCACGTGTTTGTGTAACTAACACTAGTCTATGAGGTGAAGTATATAAATTCACTATTCTATACAAACCCTTATATAAATAGAATTTGTTTGATGATCATACGAATGTGGTTACTACTTTTATAAATTGGTAGATTATATAAATCACATAGATAAATATATTTTCCTTTGGGTTTCATTGTTAGATATACCTAAACTTATCAGCTAGATAAATATAAGCCAAGATATGTAATTTATTACACGCAACCACAAATGCAGGAGACGACGACCAGTGTAGCAGCAGCCTCAGCAGCAGTATGTCTCAACATACACAAAGGGAAAAGCGAGATTCTCCGATACAACACAGCATGCAACAGTCGAATCACACGTGATGGAGAAGATTTGGAAGATATAAAAACCTTTACATATCTGGGCAGCATCATTGATGAACACGGTGGATCTGATGCAGATGTGAAGGCGCGGATCGGCAAAACAAGAGCAGCATATTTACAATTGAAGCACATCTGGAACTCAAAGCAACTTTCAACCAATACCAAGGCCAGAATTTTCGATACAAATGTCAAGACAGTTCTACTGTATGGGGCGGAAACCTGGAGAACTACGAAAGCCATCGTCCAGAAGATACAAGTGTTTATTAACAGTTATCTACGCAAATACTTCAGATCCATTGGTCAGACACAATCAGCAACAACTTACTGTGGGAGAGAACAAACCAGATCCCAGCGGACGAAGAAATCAGGTAGAAGCGCTTGAACTGGATAGGACACACATTGAAGAAAGCACCGAACTGCGTCACAAGGCAAGCTCTCACATGGAATCTTCAAGGCCAAAGGAGAAGAGGGAGACCAAAGAACATATTACGTCAAGAACTGGAGACAAACATGAGAAAAATGAATAAAAATTGGATAGAACTAGAAAGGAAGGTCTAGGACAGAGTGGGTTGGAGAATGCGTGGTCGGTGGCCTATGCTCCATTAGGAGTAACAGGTATAAGTAAGTAATATGTAATTTATTGATTGGTTGTATTTTTGTTGGATAGCGTTAATTGTTTATCTTCAAGTTCCTATGAATTCATTTAAAGTAACTGTTATTCAAAATAGAATTCAAGCTAGAATGTTTCTTGACACTGTCAAGAGGTGTAGTTAATGTTTTATGCAAACGCAACAAATTTGATAAGTATTCAAATACTTTAGGACAATAAACATCATTCGTAAAATGAGCACCAGATATGTCTATAGTCAGTTTGATTTCGAATCGTAAGATTTGCAAATTATTACTTAAATTAAATTCAGAATTCCAAATTTGTTTGCAAAATATTTAAATAAAATATGTTTTATTACCCTCAACGAAATCTGACACAATGCTATAACAGTATTTCCACCTTCTCACTGGTTTAATGTTGTAAAGTGGTTGTAAAGAGGTTGGATTTTAGAGGTCTGCTTCAAGAGTGGTATTGTGGTGTGTGTTACTTATGTTGACAGATATAAATAGTATGTAACATCAATCAGAAGTGAAATCCGTGGTAGTTGAAGATTGAGAAAACCGAAATGAAGAGAACAAGAATGACAAACAGAAAGTAATTGTAATAATAACAGAATTGAAAGTATTATGAAGCATGAAATGGACAATGGAAGGAAGACGTGCAACTCTTGTATTTAATGTATAGTTTTCATATTTTTCTAAGCCACTCTGTAAATTTGCAATAAATTAGTCTTTCATATATGCGTGTTCGTCCATTAAAGTATGAATGTAACTATTCGGAGGTTGTTGTTAGTTTAGGATTTAGGGGGTAAAGTGACAAATCAACATTAGTACAAACCTCCATGCTAAACAAACTGACAAGACATTTTCAAGTTTGAATGATTGTTGGATTCATGAAATTATATAGATTATTTTCATCAATTAGGTGAGCTATATATCTCTGTAATATAAAATTGACCATATTGTTCCACTTCAAGATTTCAATATTCACAAATTATGCATACCATAAACGACTTAAATATACTTCACTGGTTTTATAAACCACTTTATGAGAGATTATGAGAAATGATCAAAACGACTTAAATGCATGAACAAAAAGATCGTGATTATAAGAAATCTAATGATCAATTTAGATTGAGGGCTTCGAACCAACGATCTACATTGAAAATGTGAAGACATAAAAATAGTGAAAACAACTTCTATCACACATTTTGAAATAGAATTATTGATCATTTCACTAATAATACATATAATTTAACATCACAAATCATGGAAAAGGCAGAAGAATACTTCATCACAGAAGGATCTTCATCGATTCAGAACAAGCATCCTTAGAACAAGTGATGTAATCATAAGAAACTATTTTCCATATTAGTCACATACATCACATATATGAGACAAATTATTCCAAATTAATCATGAAAATGTATGAAATATCGACTCTCATATAAAAACCAATCAAAAAATACAACAAAAATTATGAAAATATGTGAAACAATTAAACAACATTTCTAATATATCATTTACCAATTAAATAATCACAAAATTATTTATACGCAAACTGAGTGGAGTTATGTGCATAGCCATTCACTTCAAATGTAAACAACCAACATCGTGCGTCATTTACGAGTTCTCTATCACTCGACTGTAGTCCATTAAGTAGCACGTGTCAGTTTGATTCAGAAGTATATAAGGCGAAGAGATGCATATCATATTATCATTCGATAAATTATTCAAACGATCATTTCTACATCGAATCTAACACCATGAACAGAACATCTTACAAACATATATTCACCGAATCAAGAACTAGACAGAATTTCGCCAAAGAATGTGAAGATGCAATCAATAAACAAATCAATGTGGAACTACAGGCTGCTTATGATTATATGGCATTCTTCACTTATTTCGATCGAGATGATGTGTCATTTCCGAAAGCAGCTGAATTCTTTCGAAAAGCTTCACATGAAGAACGTGAACATGCAGAGAAATTGGCCAAATATCAGAACAAACGTGGTGGTCGTGTTCAATACAGTGATATCAAGTGTCCAACTAAGACAGAATTCAGTGGTTTGGAGGATGCGATGAACACTGCATTGTCGATGGAGAAGGCAGTGAATGAGGTGAGTGGTACAATGAATCATAATCTATCTACAACTAGAACATCATTAACCGACAATCGGAAATGATCATTTGGTTTTAAAAATATATTTCGATTTTATATTAATGTTTGTGTAATTGTTCACATCACTGACTTTGAAATACGTGCAATTCTCAAGTGTTGAATTGACCATCATATTTCGTACATTACATTTCTATCTCTGAGTAGTATTATGAAACTGGAATGTATCGTATTAAATTGACACATGTGAAAGTTACACTTTAGTTTGGTTAGTTTCATGAACATGGTGAGTCACAATTCACTGTGAAAATAAAACACTAATCTATTAAATGACAACATGAAATACACTACAACCACTGGTTCCATTGTTTCTTCTCTTTTTACAGTCATTATTGAAACTTCATGAAATCGCTGTGAAGAACAATGATCCAGCACTGACTGATTTCATTGAGAGTCAGTATTTGCATGAACAAGAAGATGCAATCAAACAATTTGCTGACTATGTGACAGAGACAGATCGAGTTGGAAGTGGACTTGGTCAATATTTATTCGACAAGATCACACTGAAAGAATAAACACGACTTCAGTTGAACTGTTTATTCATTGTTATGTCGTTCATGTATTTCTCTGTACTGTTGTTATTATCATTAAATGAGTGATTCTCACAACTTTCTCACTAGGTTTCTTATTGTCTTTGAAAATGTGAGGAAGTCGAAGTGGACAACCTGTTTGAAGTAGTAACTAAGTGAGTTAGTTGACTTTGAGGTTTTGATGTGGGAAGTATGTTATAGACCGACCAAATCAACGAGATGAATGGTTTTTGATGTTTCTATATAGTGAGTGAATAACGATTAATTGTGCTATCCTATGAGATTATACTATACAGTTATTTTCGAGAATACATTTGAAAGTAACCATGTGGTATTAGCTAACGTTGGAAAGTTGTTTATTTTGTGACGGATATCCCAATTCCATAGTACACATAACGTGTTAGGTTTCTACACATTGAATGAATCGATAATGCATTAGTGAGCTTAGGAATATTTTGAAATTTACAAGTTTTATTTTTCACAGATTACCACACATTGGTATTGTTGAAAACTACACATTACTGGATAATTGTTCCATCCTAGTGAAGGATTTCCTAGAAATGTTACTAATAAATCTTACAAAATAAACCAATTTACTCGAAGTCACTTCAATTAAACTATATTTTTAAACTTACAAATGACTTTCTCTATATGTTTCTTACGTTCTCGTTGAATGTCCTAACTTGTGACGTTCCAACCTGTAGACGTCTAAACAGGTGTCACCAGAGTCATTGGTTAGTAGTCGAACCACATCGCGAATTTACTGAACTTGATAATGGTACATTTGGACGCTGAAACTGTTAATCTAACGTTTCAGAATTCTTCATGAAACCTTAAAGTTTTTAGTTAATCCCATCTATGATTTTATCTGTAAGCTGACTGACACTCTCCTATTAGGATCAAACGTATGTTCAGTGCTTCCTAGTATTAAATGGTATTCAAATTGAGATCACCATGTGATGAATACAACTAAGAAAATCAAACCAATTTCTAAAAAAAACGTTAATAGTCTTGAAATTCACACGGTTGACATGACTCTGTTGAAAATTTACCTATAACAACTTACCAACTGAAATGATAACAAATCAATCATACAATTTACTATTAACTTGTATTCTTACACTTAACAACATACTTCACAAAACATTTACAATATTATTAACATTTACACAATATCTGTGTGTATACATATGGTCACTTGAAAATGGATGCTGATAAACAAAAGTGAAACTAGAAGATTTCACTAAGCTTAAAACTATTATTTATTATACTGTAATATTTCAATCAGCATAATCAATATTAGAATGCTTTATTTTTTGAATGTGATTCATACAGTCCATATTGAAATCTCATCATCATTATCAAAATGAAAATGGTTACCTTTGGTTGATGAGAATTTTTCAGTGAGCAACTAAGTTTTCATAGAAAACAAGAAATAATATATTCAAATTATTATAAATAGTTTATGGGGTTCACTATGCCCAGACGACAATTATAGTCATTTTTCCTTTACTATTCCATTATATTCGGACTATTGAAGATTATTGACGGTGCTTTTACTGAAACTTTTCATTTGGTCAAGAATATAAATAAGGATTTTGGTAAACAGCTGACCCTTATTATTTTAAGACAGGATATGCTTTCCATCTATAGGCTCTTTTGATTGTGGGCGACTGAAATAGCCACAAGTATCTTTTAATATATATATATATATATATATATATATATATATATAGTCTTTAAAATACAAAAGTATTGTAGCGTTCAGCATGTAAGTAAGTGTCTAGCAGAAGTTAAGCTGTGTGTTGGAGGAGTGGGAGTGGAAGCCCCTGTGAAAAAATCTCAATGAGAGAAAGTATGAGCAGATGACTCACTAAGATCATAGAATGCACATCATTTCATGATGAAAGCAATCAATACATGCTAGCAATAACACAAGGGTAAGATTAGGACAATTTGATAATTGAAACTAGAAATCGGTAGTATAACGTATCAAATGAGTTACAGTATCAAAATATCTAAAGCTATTATCTTAAAGTATGTTGTCCTCACTATTTACATTGAACCTTCTTTTATGATGACTTCAGTCAAGATTTCATTAAGATAGCTCATATACAGATTGTATTTAGATAAGATTAATTGTCTACGAATCTGGTTCACCTGACTTCACATCATTATTATTTGATGGACGATGAAAGCTCCACGACCAAACCATCCAACTCAGAGAACAAAACTCTATCCGAATCATCCACCTGAACTACAAATCTTCTCCACCATCTTTCTTTTGAAATTTATAGACACACACAGGCAGTTAAAAAGAATGGTAATGATTTTCGAAGTAGAAACATTAATATGGTAAATATACAGTAATAGCATTTGAAATCGAACAAATCAATGTATAAATGAAGTCACCTGATGAGTAGGTCACGTAAGGTGATGTAAAATTAAACCAATAGAATTAAGCGGATGAGAGAATTGTAAAGAATATAAATAAATAATCTTCCAACCTAGAAAAGGAACAACAGATGATTAACTATAATCCACATTATAAACTGAAGGTTGTTTTTATATTTGCTCGAATTTTATTTTTCATGATACATTAATGGAATCAATTTTAATCTACACTTTACAGAAGATATATCATGTAGATTAGCATACAACGAATGAGTGATTAAGTAAGTGAAAGCATTAAGTGTAGTAGCAGCCTCCAAAGTAGTAAGTTCCAACATACACAAAGAAAAAGAAAGATCCTCAAATGCAACACAAACAGCACCAACCTAATCACACTTTATGGAGGATCTCTGGAACGGATGGAAACTTTCACGTATCTGAGAAGCATCACCAATGAACAAGGAGGATCCGATGCAGACGTAAAGGCAAAGAATGTCAAAGCGAGAGCAGCATTCTTACAACTGAATAACACATGGAACTAAAAACAACTGTCAGACAATACCAGACTAAGAATATTCAATACAAACGTCAAGAATTTCCTGTTGTACGGGGCTGAAACTTGGAGAACTACTACAACTATGGTCAAAAATGTACAAGTACGGTACAAGATATTCAAAGTTCGTTGACCAGATACCGTCAGAAACAACGTATTATAGCAGAGTATAAACCAGCTTTCATCTGAAGAGGAAATTAGGAAAAGACATTGAAAGTGAATAGGGCATACATTACGGAAATTATCGAACTGAACCAAAAGGCAAGCCCTATATCAGTCTTCTGAAGGTAAATGGAAGGCTAAAGAGCACATTGCGTCGGGAACAAGAGGTACACATCAAAATAATAAATAGGGATTTGAAGGGAGAACTCAGGACAGAATTGGTTGGAGAATGCTGGTGGGCGACCTATATTCTCAAAATTTGTAATAGGCTTAAGTATGTAATACATATATTACACCGCCAACAAATTGGAATTTTTATTCGCCTTCTATGACCTATTAGAAAATCAGTAGTGATTTAGGAAAACAACATCCATGAAAGACCCTTACCTTTTTTTACTATATCAATTGAAACTAAACATATTTTTCGCATTAAATTCTCAAACCAGATCCCGTTGATCACTAGAACTTTGTTGGATGCTTCATTATCTCAAAACATTTCACGAAAATCTTGTATTACAATAAATGCACACAGTATGTGATTGAATTTATAACTAGTCCGTGTTCATTCTTCAGAACCTTGATGTTTAAGACCATTATGACTTTAATATTATTATTGTGACAAACAGTCTAGAACCTAAATGTCAAGTTAATAAATGTTCATTGATTAAAGTTTAAAATATTCACCACTCGATGATAACTCATTGATCTAAAAGTTACCTGGCAATTCTGGTTTCTACATAAATAATAAGTACTTCTGAAGAATCCTATGTTGAAATGAAACGATCATCTAATCCTCTTTAGTTTTTATTGATTATATAACTAAAATCTCTAATCATTAGCTTAATCATTTCTTCTCAACCCTAATTTATGAAAACTAACACATTAGAATTTTAATGACAAATATGATATAGAATTTCTTCATTTAATAACATAAAGTATGTATTACACGTTACTTAACAATTAAACTACATTACAATGAAAACAAAGATATATATTTAATCGTTGAAATCGTGAGTCTATTGCAGCTAGATCACCATGGAAAATCTGGGAGTATTGGACGGCCGTTTCATCCTAGTACTGGACTCCTCAGCAGTGCGCATCCACGATCCCGCCACTCACGAGATTCGAGCCCAGCATCTATCAGTCTCGCGCTCGAGCGCTTAACCACTAGACCACTGAGCCGGCCAGCATCCAACGGTGTTAATGACTAACTTCAACTAATCCACTAAATAGCGCCACCGTAAACCATTGTCTTTAGTGAGCTGATATCTCACAACCGACTTAGTTGAACTCCACTGGTAACGACTTCTCACTAGAACTCCAGGAAATGCCTCTTTAAGTCAGTCACAGGTTTTCCATAGTGGTCTAGCTTCAAGTGACTCATGATTTCAACTATTGAATTTATTAAAATCTCCACAAAAACCCTTCTGATATATTTAATCATTAATTATTTGTATCCCCATAGAACACAAATGTTATTTTACTCTGATATAAATAATATTGTAAACAAACTATAATTGACATATGATTTAGTTAATCAAATGTAACAAGGTAATGTAATGAAATTTCATTATTAAACAATGCTTGTAGGTTGAAATGGGTCACAGGATAATCGTATATTTTTTTCTCAGTCTAATAAACCTATCTGAATTAAGAATTTCTTAGATATTTCAATACTGTATGTCATTGTTATTGAAATAATGTATTTTAGATTTTTATATTTATATATCAATGAGATGAAGTGAAGTGTCCTGAATACTGGAAATCAATATTTAATGTGCTGACCGATTAAGAGAGTAATTCGTTTAGTCTAAAGAACATTATTAATATTATTAGTCATTGATAAAACTATCTATGTAATTAGTTAATAATGTTCTATGATAAATGTATTGTGTGAACATCAAGATCTTAGTGATTTCAGTGATATGTTTAAGAAAGAAATAACAATATATTCAGTCATGAATGTTAACAC